AAGGTAAAAAAAAAAAAAAGAAAAGAAAGACTGTCTCCAGACATATACAAAAATCTCAAGAGTATACTGGGGAGCTCTAAAAGAAATGTCCACCTAACTGATGTCAGGCCTATGACATCTAATGTTTCACTGAATCTTAAGTTCTAGTTTCGTTAATTAAGATTTGTATTTACTAAGACTCACTTCTTAGATAATTCCTTATGGTTATGTTACATTGCTAAGAGGCTTCAGTAAGTTAAATTTAAAAAGACATTCGTTAAGTTAAATTAAAAAGGTACTTCATTAAAAATGACCCTCTAAATTTGTTTCGAAAACTTATCTCAGTAATTAGTCTTTAAATAAAGATCAGATGCTCCAGGATCTACAACCAGGAAATTAACAACAAGCTATAGTCATTTAACAAACTAAGTCAGATGACTTAAAGACGTCACTGGGCTATACCTAATAAAAGTTCTTGACTTAAATTCTTTCTTATGATTTTACTATTACTGCTAACTATACTGTTTTCTATAGTGCTTATTTCAAGAAATGTTGTCCCTTACATTATCAAATGTGTGACTGAGCCACTGATATAATGATGGTATACAGTTCCATATAAAATCCATAGTTATAATGTATGTAACTCATATCTTCCTTTGGTAAACTCTCTTATGTACATATGACCATTGATATATTCTCTCAATTTATATGGGCCACTGCTCACTCCAGTGAGACTACAAAACATATACAAAGACATTAATATGCATTTTTTGCTGCTATAAAACTACCAAAAACTATAAAAACTGATAACAGCCCTGCTTATACCAGTAGAACACTCCAACAATTTCTTAAAATTTGATCTATAAAACATTCTACTGACATTCCCGATAACCCACAAAAACAGGCCATAATGGAAAGGGCTAATCAATCGCTTAAACATGCAATACAAAAACAAAAAGGGGGAAATGCCATAGGACAATAAACAATATTGATTAAAGCTTTATTTAATCTCAGTTTTTGAATATTTTGACACAAACTACAGAAACTACAGCTGAGTGACATTTTTAGGCTACATCCACAAATCCAACTAAGCCTGTGATTTGGTGGCAAGATCCACTAACAAATGCTTGGTCACCGAGAAAGTTAATTACATGGGAAAGAGGGTTTGCTTGTATCTCCCCAGGAGAAGGTCTAGAACCTGTGTGGATTCCAGCTGGTAGAGTCAAACTGAGCAGAAACCACCAGTGACTCCAGACAACCTCATCATGGTTATGTTTGCCCCGATAACTATTGCAGTGAGTATATGCTTGGTTTCGGCAAAAGCAAAGAATTATACTTATTGGGCATATATACAAATTCCCCCATTACTAAAACCCATTGATTGGGGGGATTCTATGATTCCCATTTATGTTAATGATTCTTCCTGGATACCAGGACCTGAAGATACACGCCTTCCTTTTGTTTAAAAAGAGAAAGAGACTCCCTTCAGTGTTACTCATGGGTATGAATCTTGACCAATTTGTGTAGGACCAGGTACAGGATGTCTTAAATTATCTATGCAAGCCTGGCAGTTCACTAATTCTTTAAATCATAACTATACTAAGGTTCAACTATATCTTCTCTCTGGTCTGAGTTTTGCTTGTAATGACTCAGAATCCAATAATGACACCAAATCAGATAGACCTTTATGTGAACATCGCAAGCTGTGGACTGAAATACAACATCGCATTCAGTGGGATAATTGCCGCATGACAGGGGAAGTAATTTTGATTAATGGTTCCTATGTAATTGTATGGGACTAGTCCCCGAAGGGGTATGCAGTCTCTAATTGCTCTCATCAAAATCAGTCCTGCAATCCTCACAAAAGGCTGCGTTGGCAGGTGTATAAAGTCTTTGACCATACTAATATTATCACTCATTCAGATCAGCCAATTATATGACATGGTAGTGGCATGTTACCTTCCTTTTCACAACTGGATCAAGGGAGAGGGCAAGGAGAGATTTGGAAATTGGCTCTCTAAGTCTTAGAAAATTACAAATTTGGGATGGACATTATTCTGATAAAATTAATTATTCACTGACATTTAACACCAGTACAAACTGGGCATTTTATATTCAGGCTTGTGTGAGAGATCATTATGTACTCTTGAAAGGAACAATTTCTATCAATGAAAGTGTACAAGAACTTTCTTGCCAGGATTACAAATTATATACTTGCTTGAATTCTTCACTTTATAATTCTAATCACTCATTTGTTATATTATGATGGAGACTGGAAATATAGCTTCCAGGAAATCAAACCAGACCATGGGAAGGCTCCCCTGAAATACATGCTCTTTTAAAGGTTATAAATAAAGTACTGCAACGTTCCAAAAGGTTTATTGGACTCCTTATAACAGCTATTGTGGGAATTACTGCTGTCGTGGGACAGCCACGACTGCAGCAGTAGCCAGGGTTTCACTGCATCAAACTATACAAACGACTACATTTGTACAGTAGTGGCACCAAAATGCAAGTTCTGCCTGGGGAAGTCAGACCCATACAGACCAAGAAAGTAGTGAACGATTGACTCGTTTAGAAAATGCAGTTCTCCTTCTAGGGGACGAGATACAAGATTTGAAATTACAAATTCATCTTAAGTGTGATTGGAGTATCTCTTCATTTTGTGTCACACCTCATAAATATGATCAAAGTGCATATACTTGGGATCAATTAAACATTTGCGAGAACACATTCATAATAATCTATCCTTAAATATTTCCCAATTACAGATTAATTAATTAATATTAATTAATATGCAGAATGTTCACTTACAATAACTCCCAGAAACTGATTTCTTTAAAGAAATTGAGGAAAGCTTACATAAACTTAACCCCATGATGTGGATTAAAACTTTAGGAGGAGGATCGCTTGGTACTATAATATCAAGATGCATATTTCTAACTGTTTTGTGTCTAGTCCTTAGATACATGAGAGAAATCATCAAGAAATGATGAAGAAAGAAGTTACTCGGACAGTGTATCTACTGCAAAAACAAAAAGGGGAGATGTAGTGGGAATTTCTAATAATGTACACTCAAAGCCTTGAGAAATTTCATAGAAATAGCACCTGGGAAAATAGCATATATCAAGAAACTGTGTTGATGATGTATCAACAATGATGAAAAACATTTTTCATGCTTTTCTGAGAATAACAGCCTTCTTACAGACCCCAAGGCCAGACCCAGAAGGGAGTATGACTGGGGTCATAAAAGCATGGACCTTGGAACAGCGGGTCAGCGTTAGGTATGAACACTGCCTACACACTTGCTAACTGTTCCCGAGACTATCCTACAAGGGAACGAATGGCCTGGGGTCAAAACAAGGAGATCTGGACTATGTCAATGTAGCGTCTTGGGAAAGACGGATCAGAGAAAGTTTTGTAGTCTGCAATCAGGAATAACAGCTGGACTCAGAGTGGACTCCTGCACCTCAGTCCAGTAGAGGCTGCAGGTCCCCTGATCCATTGCACCAGATTTTGTGTTCTGCTTTTATTCTTGTTGCTCGCTCCCGGACCTTTAGGGCAACAATAAACAGATAATAATTTTAAAAATCACCATGTTTACTTATGAAATGATTGAATACATTCCTAAGTCATACTAGAAAGAAATAGATTGTTACTGCCCACTTCTGGACAAGGTGTATATGGAGCCCATAAAGTTTAACTTAATTTTAAGGATCTTGATTTTTTTTCCTAAGGCAGTCATCTTTCCCAGTATAAGTTACAGGTATAATTTGGAGGAGTTGATTAGTTGCAGTTCTCAAAACCCAGTTATGTCAAAACCTTGAGTTAAGGCCATACCTGTTTCCTTCAGCTCTTTTATTTCCAAGTTAGGGGTCTCTTTTGGATGTTCTGAAGTTAGTCCTAGACAGACATTGACATCAGGATGAAATTCGTATCTCTGCACCCTGGGACCCTCAGTTGGCTGAGTTCTCTGGGCTCCAATAAAATCCTGTAACAAGGGAAATACTGTCAAGGACATATTTGCAATCATCTGAATGTCACTGGTGTTTTAGAAACATATCTAGGTGTCAGATAAACTCCCTATTACTCCTGTTGGGTAGACTCACTGTAGTTCTCATAAATGAACTCACTGTAATTACCAATTCTTTGAAAAGTGATAACAGAGGCTTCACTGGTGGCTCAGTGGTAAAGAATCCACCTACCAATGTAGGAGACACGGATTCAGTCTCTGATCTGGAAAGATCCCATGTGCCGTGGAGCAACGAAGCCCCTGCACCGCACCTTCTGAGCCTGCGCTCTAGAGCCTGGGAGCTGCAACTACTGAAGCCCACACACAGAGATCCCATCTCTGCAACAAGAGAGGCCATCACCGTGAGAGCCGGCGCATCACAACCACAGAGTAGCCCCACTCGCCACAACTAGAGAAAGAGCCTGTGCAGCAACAAAGACCCGGCAAGGCCAAAAATAAAGAAATAAAATTATTTGTTTTAAAGTAACTAAAGCTGCTATCCACTGAATTACACTAGTGCCTACAGGTGCCCCTTTTACACTGACCCTCTTCAGCGTCCCTCGGCAATTTCCTGCTGCCCTCACCAAGTCAGGCAGTTAGGCTTTTCTTGGGAACACAGAAAGAGTGTCATGAAATGAGGATTTCCAAAACTTCCTACAACTTGATCTCTAGCTTCTTCTTGGTCTCTTAACTCCCTAATCTACCCTGAGATAGGTAAGCAAAAATAGACCCCTAACAACTTTAGAGCTTACCTTTAAGTCATTCTTCATAATATACTGGATATCTTGAAGGTTCATAGTTCTATCTTTCTGCTTGACCTGGATGCCTGACTTAACAATATCATAGTAAGGTTTCGGAAGCCTGACATCAGCTTCTAAATAATTTCCCAAGACTACGGTTTCTTTAACGACTGAGCCGTCTAAGCCATCCCAGGGTATGTTGTCTGTTAAGGAAAAAGCCAGAAGAAGAAACATTAAGAAATCAGATGAAACTGGGTAACTTCTGTCAAGTTGCTCAATCTCTTTAAAATTAATTTCTCTCTGTAGAAAAACTACTGGAAGCTCAATAACAAAGGAGAAACCATCTGACCCAAATAACAGGGAAATCCCCGTCACAGAGACAGGAAAGAGCAATGTCAGACCCCTGTAGGTATAGACTTCTGGCCGGCAAACCTGGGGACCACAAGGGAATGTTTCCTGGTGTCAGGTTGGCCTGCCCAATGCATTCGTGTCACAGAAGGTGAGGCTTTGCCTCTGAGGCTGGAAACACTACTAAATGGGGCTGAGTGTCACCCCATCAGTGAATGTGGTCTGTATACCTTCACCTCAGAGTCCTGTACATTTGGAAGGGCTTCTGTTTCTTTTAAGTGACACTGCTTATACATACAATAGGTCCTGGGTGTGTCTGATTTCCATTTACTTCTCAGAGGCCAGTCCTTTCCCCTCATCTGTAAGTTCTTAACATTGAGAACAACTTGTGGTTGCCAGTGGGGAGAGGGGAAAGAGAGGGATGCACTGGAAGTTTGGGGTTGGTAAATGCACACTATTACATTTAGAATGGAATGGATAAACAACAAGGTCCTACTGTATAGCACAAGAAACTACATCACTCAACATCCTGTGATCAACCATAATGGGGAAGAACATTAAAAAAGAATTGCACACATGTGTGTAACTGAGTCGCTCTGCCCTACAGCAGAGATTGGCACAACACTGTACATCAACCATACGTCAATAAAAATTAAAAAAGGAAAAGAAAACAGGTTCTTAAGGGGCACCTCGCAGAGACCCCTAAGCACTGACTGCAATATTCAGTTTACAAACTCTCCTTGGATTAAATGCACTACCACTGACAAGCAAATAGGTGGGCTTTGCTGAATCTTAACAGGTTAAAAGAGAATGATTTCTGAGAGATCATATCTTGCATAAACACAAAGAGGTTTCCTTAAGTCTTTTTTCCCTGTGTCCTGCATTCTCCTAACACTAAGTGACTCTTCGGCGGTGGGGGGGGTGGGGGGGGAACCCAAGCTAAGAAGAGGGGCTTCGGTCACTGTCAGTGTACTCTCTGACCCACCTGTTAAAATCTCCTGTATGATCACGGAAAAGCTGTAGATGTCCGACTTCACGGTGGCCGCCTTCTGTAAGATGACCTCCGGGGCAGCCCAGCCGTACAGCTGGGTGGGGAGCGGCACTCGACTGAGGTCCCTGTGTGCACCCCCAGCCTGGCTACGGAAGGAAATGCAAGGCAGGGCTGATGCCTTAAAGGATCCCTGTGATCACCACGCAGCACATGAGTCAAACACTTGCTGATAACCTCCTTGAGCTTCTAGAAACCCAGCTAGATCCTGAGCCAACCCACACTGCCTACCGTTTCAACACCGGCGATTCCTTACTGTTGCTACCTGAGCAGGCCCTACCCCACCTCACACCTCAGCTGGCCACTCCCTCCTGCTCACTCACTCCCCGCAAGTCACAGGGGCCCTCTTGCAGCTTCTCCAACGTGCCAAACACATCACAACTTCAGGTTTTTGCACTGGTGGTTTCTTCTGAGAGCATGCTCTGCCCACAGATTCTAGCATGACTGCGTGCTTCTTATAATTAAAACATTAGCTTGAAAATCACCTCCTCGGAGAGGACTTACCAGAACACCTTTATTGGCATCAGAGCATTTATTATCTGAATTTCTTGTTCATTGGTTTATTATTTATTATCTGCTATCCCTAAGAAAGGCAATCCCAAAGAATGCTCAAACTACCGCACAATTGCACTCATCTCACACGCTAGTAAGGTAATGCTCAAAATTCTGCAAGCCAGGCTTCAGCAATACGTGAACCGAGAACTTCCAGATGTTCAAGCTGGTTTTAGAAAAGGCAGAGGAACCAGAGATCAAATTGCCAATATCCGCTGGGTCATCGAAAAAGCAAGAGAGTTCCAGAAAAACATCTATTTCTGCTTTATTGACTACACCAAAGCCTTCGACTGTGTGGATCACAATAAACTGTGGAAAATTCTGAAGGAGATGGGAATACCAGACCACCTGACCTGCCTCTTGAGAAACCTGTGTGCAGGTCAGGAAGCAACAGTTAGAACTGGACATGGAACAACAGACTGGTTCCAAATANCGAAGAGTTGACTCATTGGAAAAGACCCTGATGCTGGGAGGGATTGGGGGAAGGAGGAGAAGGGGACGACAGAGGATGAGATGGCTGGATGGCATCACCGACTCGATGGGCATGAGTCTGAGTAAACTCCGGGAGTTTGTGATGGACAGGGAGGCCTGGCGTGCTGCAAATCATGGGGTCGCAAAGAGTTGGACACGACTGAGAGACTGAACTGAACTGATTATCTGCTCCATGAGGCAGGCTTCTTATCTCTTATATCATCAGAACTCTAAACTTACACCAAGGCCTCAATGCTTACTTTTGAATAAATGAACCTAAGACTTTTTCAAGAACCCCTTCCAGCCTCCCTCAAAGCCTTCTGGGACTCTTCCAACTCTTCATGATTGCTTCTTTTCTGAGCTCTGCCCTCTTGGAAATGAGCCCTCTCAGTTTAGTACTCAAAGTTTCACTGATTTGCTTGAATAACTCAACTTGGCAACCTGGCTCCTTGGGAACTAAGTCAGAGTGTCCTAAGTGTCCTCTGGGCCAAAAGTCCTCAGGATGAAATCAGCGCTGACTTCTGCACACAGCTGTCATGAGCATCAAATGAGATCACATGTGTGGAAACTCTCTGTGAGCCATAAAGCACTAAGCAAGTAAGGAATTAATACGAATGTTGTTGTTGTTGTTTAGTTGCTAAGTCATGTCTGACTCTTTGCGACCCCATAGACTGTAGCCCATCAGGCTCTTCTGTCCATGGGTTTTCCCAGGCAAGAATACTGGAGTGGATTGCCATTCCCTTCTCCAGGGGATCTTCCTGAGCCAGGGACAGAACCCGGGTCTCCTGCACTGCAGGCAGATTCTTTCCTGTCTGAGCCACCAGGGAAGCCCAGGGTTGAGGCTGGCCATCTCCAAATCCCCATTTTACTCCAGGATGCACATTTCTATTGGAGAGCGCGTCAAAGAAACTGTTACACCTCCATGCGAACAACAGGTGGCGCTGCACCACTGGCAAACAGCTTGGGTTTTGTCAACCTTCTTGAAAAGTCTATTATCAACAGGAAAAATGTCCAAAACCTTTAGCTCTTGAACACATAGCCCAAGTGGTGAACCTTGCTCCGAATCACTTCAAGGATTCACTTCAAATGCTTCCTGAGCACTTACTGCTATGTGGCAGGCGCTGAGCTGGGTGGTAAAGATAAACCTAGCATGGTTCCTGCCCTCTTGGAGCTCACCATTCGGAGGGGCCGACACTTGACTGCTGGGCAGTGAAGCATGCTAGGTGATTTGGGGAAAGGGCTTCAGTATAGGCTTCATGGGGTGTGGTGGAAGATGGTGTCAGAAAAAAGTTTAAAAGGATAAACGGGAGCACCAGGTACTCCAGGCGTGAGAAGCAGCCCTGAGAAATGGCATGGCCTGCAAGTGTTCTCAGACGGCCAGGCAGAGTGGTAAGTGATGAGCGTGACGCTGCGGGCGGAGCCCCCACCGCGGAAGCCTTCCCACTCTACAAAGTGTAGGGCCTTAATCTTGTAGGCAGAGGGAAACACTGGGATTGAGAATTGACCAGGTCTGAGACTGAGCAGCTCAACCGGGGAGAGCTATCTGGCCTCCACCGGTTTCCAACAGAAAACGGCTCCAGTCACAGCTAACTTCTCCCTACTGCTCTCTCCTCCCATCACTGCCCGTCTCCATGCAAGAGCGAGGACCTTCTTAACCTGTAAATCAGCCAGAACATCATTCTGCTAAAAAAAAAAAAATCCTTCACAGTATCCCAGTGTTTTAAAGATTAAATTCAAACTCTTTGCAAAGGCCCACAAGGGGAAGCCCAATCTAACACGTGCTCTCCTCTCCAGACAAAGAGAAAAGGGGCACACGAGGCCCAGGGAGGTGATAGCCTTCCCACTTCATTCATTTAAAAAACATGTTGAGGAACTTCCCTGGTGGTCCAGTGGTTAAGACTCCACGCTGCCAATGCAGGGGGTTTGGCTTCAATCCCCGGTCAGTGAACTATGATTCCACATATAGCATGGAATGGCCATAAATAAATAAATAAAATTGTCTGTAAATAAATAAAATAGAATTTTAAAAATAAAAAGGAATTTCCCTGGTGGTCCACTGGCTAAGACTCCACACTCCTAATGCAGGAGGCCCGGGTTTGATCCCTGCTCAGAGAACTAGATCCCACATGCTGCAACTAAAGATCCCGCATGTCATGACTAAAGATCCTGTGTGCTGCAACTGAGACCCAGCGTAGCCAAATAAATAAATACAGTGTTTAAAAAAAATTTTTTTAATTAAAAAAATAAAGAACATGCTGAGCTCCCACTGTGTGGAGGCCTGCTCTAGGTATCTGAGACATGGCAGCAGATAAAACAGAAATCCCTGTCCTCATAGGGCTTTTCTAAGAAGTAAATTATGAGATGTAAGACCCGCCAGGGGCTTCCCAGGTGGCACTAATGGTAAAGAACTCGCCTGCCAATGCAGGAGACATAAGGGATGAGGGTTCGATCCCTGCGCCAGAACCCCTGGAGGAGGGCATGGCAACCCCCTCCAGCATTCTCGCCTGGAAAATCCCATAGACAGAGGTGTCTGGCAGGCAACAGTCCATAGGGTTGCAAAAAGCTGGACATGACTGAAGTGACTTAGAAGGTATGCATGTAAGACCTGCCAGAGACTCAGAAATAAAGCCTCAGGGATGGTGGTGGGTGAGGACCAGGTTCAGCGGAGGTAAGCAGGTCTCAGCCAGGGGTCTGCCCGTGGCTCAGGCCTCACAGCTGTACCAGGGCAGCCCTGGGCCCAGGGCTCAGAGCTGTGGAGGACAGCAAGGAAACACAGGGTAGATCCTCTGCCCCTCAGAACTGGAAGGAGAGGACTCTGACTTCTGCCAAATGGGAAATCAAGTCCATCCCCCAAACCTCGAGTAAGGATGACGTTTTCATCACGACTTCCCTCCCTGCACTGAGCCCCGCCCACTCACGTCAGGATCATAAGGCTCACCAGCAAGGCTTACCAGCACCCACTGCCTTCTCACATCTTCCAGGATGCACAGCTGTGGTGCATTTCCCAGCCTGCCTGCAGGGAAGAGGTGACTGGGCGCTGGGCACCGTAAAGTGGGAAGTAATGATACACCCACTTCCGGCAGTCCCTAAACCCTGCCACGCGTCCCTCCAGGCTTGCTCTTTCTCGCTGACCAGCAATGCGGACACAATGGGAGGCGGAGGCCTGGGGGGCAGTGGAGCCCCGGAAGGGAGGAACGCAGAGCACGGTGAATGCCACCCCTTCCTGACACACACACACTGCATGGCAAGGTGAGTGAGAGATACTTGGGCTGTGTGAAGCCACAGAAAATGTTGAAAACTTACAGTCTGGCCAACATGTGCTCACACTTGTTAAGTGTTTATTATAATGAACAGAAGTAACCTCCCCAGAGTCCCTCTAACCTTGGCTGACAGGGGAAGACATTGGGAAACCTCTTCCTCCATTGATAAGGCAGTTCAGCCCACCAATGAGGGATCCTACCCAGATCAGATTCTCTCTCTACAGCAAAGCACCCGCCCTGGGGAGACCCTGTTTGGAAGTCATGATCAAGGTGCACCTACCTTTCTATCATGTACTCCAGGTTGGTCAGCCTCGCTTCCCCCGTGGAGACAATGTGGATGGCATAGGAGCTGAGGGAACGGTGGATAAAGCCCCGGGAATGCAGGTATCTCAGGGCATCGGAGATCTGGAGCAGCAGGTGCACGATCACCTCCATGTGCAACATGGGGAACTGGGCCCGCTGCAAGCAAGAACAAAGTCTGACCAGCAATGCGGAGGCCACAGTGGGAGGCGGAGGCCTGGGGGGCAGCGGCGCCCCGGAAGGGAGGAAGGCAGAGCACCGTGAATGCCACCCCTTCCCAACACACACACTACATGGCAAGGTGACTGAGAGATACTTGGGCTGTTGTGAAGCCACAGAATGCTTCACAGTTTCCAAAGTCTTTTGCATTGACCTTCATGACAGCCACCTGGTGTCATGGTGGGGAACCTAAAATCCAGTGAGGTTAAGTGACCGGCCTGAGGTCCCACTGACTCAGGCCCCCGACTCCAAACCTGGGTTCCTCTCCCTTAGCCAAGCTGCTTGATGTTACGAAGAAAATGAGGAGAGACGTCCTCGAACCTGGTCCACACCTCCAGTGTGGGCCCCACCGCCACTGGCAAAGCCAAGCCTGTGCTGCGGGAGAACCTGATCATAAAGGACAATCCAGCCCCCACTGTGGTCAGAGGACCCAGAAACTTCACTCCAGGACAGAAGTTCCCTCCCACTAACACACCCAGTCACAACTTCTCTCTTCTCTCCCCAGAAGTGGCATTTAAAGTCAATGCCCTCCCCCAAGGAGAGGAAAGGGAGCTATAACACTGAGAGGCGGTGCCCGGGCAGGAGGAGGGGTGAGCCATTTCAGGGAAGGGCCCTTCCCGCAGGCTCTCTTTTCACTCCAGCCCAGGGTCTTCAAAACAAAGCCATGGAGAAAGAAAAAACAATCTTTCAGGATCTCTTGGAAGTCACATTTCAGGCCAAAGCAAGCTCCCAAGCAGTCTGTGTGCCCCATACCCTCTACCAGCAAATCAGGAAAGCAGGAAGGGACAGACAAGGCCTTGCATATAAAGGTCCCAAAGGGCAGCAGTCCCCAACCTTTTTGGCACCAGGGACCAGTTTTGTGGAAGACAATTTTTCCATGGATGGGGGCGGGGGAGGTAAAGTTTCCAGATGATTCAAGCACATTACATTTATCGTGCACTTTATTTCTATTATTATTACATCAGTGCCATCTTAGATCATCAGGCATTAGATCTGGGAGGCTGAGGGCCCCTGCAATAGGGCACAAGTGAAAATGACAGGAAATAAGGCCAGAGACTGTTCGGTTATTGTTAGTTAAAAGTGTGACTGTGTGTTTTCTGGGTCTACTGAGCTCTCAGATGTGTGATTAAAAAAGCCAGACTAACAATAACAAAATCACACTAGTTCCAACGTGCTGATTAGCTTTAAACGGTGCATTATATAGCCCCCCTCTGAATAAAGAATTAAGAGATTTCTCTTCTATGCATGCACAGATGGGAACTCTGCTGCTGGGGGCAAAGAAGAGAGAGGAAGGGAAAGGAGAGTCGGAGTGGTGGGGAAAGGCAGCAAGGGGGAAATGCAGGGAAACAGTCATTTACCCGTTCGTGGAGGACACTGAACAGTGTGCCCACCGTGATGCGCTCGTACACGAGGCGGGTCTTCTCCAGGTCCGGGGACAGGCACACAGCCATCAGCTGCAGCAAGTGGGGGTGCCGCAACTTGCTGCAGAGGCAAAGAAGCCCCAGGTGAGGCAGAGGGAAAGAGGACAGGATGAAACAATGGGTGCTTTCCTTTCTTCTGGGCTCCCTGAACACATTTCAAACAAATTCTATTTACACACAATGTTCTGCTAAGAAAGTGGGATGGGGTAGGGGTCGAGTTCTCTGTTCATGGAATTCTTGGCTTTTCACTGATCAGAACCTGAAGGCTTAGGGTCGTCAATGACAATGTCACTAAGAGCTACTAAGCAAGGGCCTTGACATACATCACCTTGATCCTAATAACCAGCTACAGGAAAGGTGTCATTACAGTTACACTCATAGAGATCAGGAAGCAAAGGCCAGGGAGAGGTCAGGCCCAAGGTCACACCTCCCACCCAGCCTCACATCAGAATCCACACTACGTCTATGAGTCTCTCCAGCCTCCTTGAGTCCCTTTAGGCTGACTTTCCCAAAAGGAAGGGTTTGGCTTTATAGGAGTTGAGTGAACTTGATGAGGCAGGGACCATTCCAAGGCCTCAGCAATGCTGGTATGCAACCAAGGATGAGGTTCCTGCCCCAGCAAGACCTGAGGGACCTGAGAGACTAACCCCTGAGCCACAGGAAACCTAAGGTACTGAGACCCATGGGCATGTCTTCCAAGGAGAGACAGCGCACGCGGTCCTGATGGTGGGCCTTGAGGGCTGCAGATGAGCCAGCCAGGCCTGAGGCTGGACCTCAGAGACATGCAGGGAGTCTATTAGCGGACAGAATTGAGCCCCTCACTACCACCATCCCCAACACTCAGGCTATTCAAGAATGCTTCTTTTTCCTTCTTGGCAGCCCTGGAAAGTGAAATCAAGCCACCAGAAGGAACTGCTGAGGCTGAGGAGGCTGGTCTCCACCCTCAGGTACAGCCCTACGTAGCCCTGGACTTGGGTCTGAGATGCTCCTGGGTTTTCTTTCTCACCTGCTGTGCTCTTGCTCGGCGATTAACAGGTCAGCCAGCCGCAGCCTGCTGCAGTGCGGGTGGGTGGGGAGGTGCAGCTCCTTCACCGTGACCCTGCTCCCGTTCCACACCAGGCTGCCGGGGCAGGAGAGAGTGTGAGCAGAACGGGGTGTGAGCAGGAGGGAGTGAACGGCCACTTCTGCAGACACGTCATCAGAGGAAGAGTGCTCACACAGATTCTGTACAGCTCCCCCCACCCCCACGACACGCCCTTGCAGCATGCATCCTCCCCACTCCTACCCGCACGGCCTAAAGCACTTCAGGGACTTAGTACAGGTGGCAGGAAATCACTTAGTACAGGTGGCAGGATTTAAGGGAGGGAGGGATTTAAGGGAGGCAGTGACTTGATCAGGTCTGCATGTTACAAAGACCAGGGCACCAGCTGTGTGGGGAGTGGTGGGCAGGGGTGTCTGGAGAATGGGAGGCCAGTTGGGAGGCTGGTCTGGGGAGGGACAGGAGGTGGACGGAAGAAGAGAGGACATGACAAATCCGTGGCTCAGGCAGGAAAACAAGAAGCACACCTGCATGAGACACAGAGCCAGTCTGCAGAGGCCTTCTCAGATGGGTGACTGCTAACCAGGGAAGAAGCAGCCAGGTTCAAGGAGGACAAGAGACCTTGGGCAGGACAACTCAGGTGATCCTGTAGGACGCTGGTCGCTGGAGACTGAGCCCATCCCAGGGACTTATGTCAGAGTCAGATCTCATTACTGCCATCTCTGTTGCATCAGCTGGTGAGAGCCATTAGCTGATGCCTGTGGGGCTTCAGTGCCTTTGACCTGTATCAGAGGCCAGTCACCACTATGCTGCCTCTAATTCTCTAGAGAGCAGAGAGGTTGAAACACTGTTATAAGTAATCTTTCAGAGCAGTCGTTCTCAACAAGGGGCCATCTTGCCTTGACTGTAGACATTCTGGTTGTCACGATCATATAAATGCAGGGGGTTGGGGGTGCAGGCAGAGCTGCTACTGGAATCTAGTGAGGAGAAACCAGGGACACTCCCAAACATCCTATGGTGCACAGGACCACCCCCAACAACACAGGGGAACAAAAGTGTCAATGGTGTACAGATTGAGAAATCCTGATGGAGACATTTGCATTTCAGTATGTCCCTGTGTTCAGGCAGAAACCCTCCCCATACAGGGAAGTCACACAAAGTCTATTCTTCCTGTGGGACTAAATCCGACTTCCACCGGCCAACTTCTGCTTACTTGGTCATGACCATGTAGGGGCCACTGAAGAAAGAGAAGGTGGGCTCATCGTCAGCTTGAATCACTTCCTTTTCTCCAATTACTGGAAGAGATCCTAGATAGGCCAGCTGTGTGCCTCCTGTGAGATAAAACTGAAAGCAAAGCAGAGTTTCAAATAGAGGGAGAAAAGGGAAAAACTTAACTACGTTCAGAATCTTGTCAGCCAGCTAAAAATAAAGGTAGCTGCTATTTACCAATTTGCTGGATACCCCTATGCACTGGGTATAATTCTTTTTATTACCTTTAATCTTCCAAGAAACCCTGCAAGGTTGTGATACTCTTTCCCTCTTGCTGGTGAGGAAAAGGAAGCTCACAGAAAGAGGTCAGACGCCTACAGGAAGCACCAGGCCTCAGGGATCCCATGAGGCCCCCACAGAACATGTCTGGGGCCTTCGCTGGGAATTAAAGGTTCAGTTCCTAGAACTCCCCGAATCTAGCCCAGAGTCATTCAAAAGAACTCTCCGGGGCTTTCATCATTTTTCAGTAAGGACAGAAACACTGAGAGGTACTTGTCCTGCAAAAGCAGTAAAGAAGAGAACACTTTGGGGAGGACGTGGGAGGCCGTGTTGGATGAAGTTGTGGGGCCTGAGGCCAGAGCCGGGGCCAGGGAATTCCCCAGTGAGTCCCGCAAACAGTGCCTGCTGGTGGCAACCTCTTACCTTTCCAAAGCCAAAGCTGTAGATATTTTGGGCAGAAATGACTCCAGCCTTCAGCGGTCGGTTAGGAGAGCCGTTAGGGTTTCTAAATATTGAAAAGAGGAGGGGAAAGTAAGGAGGAACCATACCCAGAGGAGCAACGCTGAACCAAGCTGTCAGCATGTGTAGTTGGGTTTCATTGTTACCACTTAACAGCCAGCCATCTGAAAGGACCCTGTGGTACCCATTTCCTGGTGTCCGTGCCCTTGTGGAGCCATGCACAGGTCAGAGAGGGCTGACCTGTTTGCCCAGCAGGATGCTGCGGAAACGACCGCGTGGTGTGAGTACCAAAGCCAGGCCCCCAGGGCTTCTGCCCTGATCTCTCCTGCAGCCCGTGCTCTGGAGAAGGCCAGCTGCCATGTCGTGAGGGTGCTCCAGCAGCCTCACGGGGGGGACCAACACCCAGCACCAGTCTGCCAGCTGTGCGAATGACCATCCTGGAACTGGACCCTGCAGTCCCGGAACACTGCAGCCCACGCTGCATCTCGACCACATCATCGTGAGATGCCCTGAGCCAGAGCCACCCAGCTGAGCTACCCCCTGATCCCTGACCTACGAAAACTGTGAGATATTTATTGTTGTTTGCAGCCACTAAGTTTGGGCTTAGTGCAACAGATAACGAATACAGATGGTCAAAGTTGGAACAAATCATAAAGAGTATCTTGTCCAACTTTCTCATGTTACAGACGGGAAAAAATGGAGCCAGAAAGGGGAAACCTGCTGGCCTGAGGTCACAAAACAGCAGCAGGGACTAGGCTTCGGCTCTGTCACAAGAAATTCAGTTTGCCAAGATCCTAACTCTGGCAGGAGAGGCGGTGGAAGACCTGAACCAAGTAGGGGCTCCAAGGCCGGATGAGGGGTTCAGGTGCTTAAACCTGATAGCCCTGGGAAGACCCTAAAAGGGTTTTTAGTATTGAGTGGCACAATTCATATTTCATTTTTAAGAGGTCATTCTCCACGCTGAGTAAAGAACCAAGATGGGCAAGAGTGGCAGCAAGGAGAGCAGTTAGGAGTAACTGGTCCTTAAGGGAATCACAAACTTATCTCTCATGAAAAGCACCCAGGTCATGAGAAGAAAACCAGGACTTGATGTGCAAAGAATGAGATGCGGGAGCCTGTGAAGGGTGAGATGAGTCTAGCCACCCCAATAACAGATAAAGATGCCATCAGAGAAAGTCACATGGACACAATTTTCCACATATAAATCCTAAGTCAATAAAGCCCAGAAAACGTCAAATAACTCTCCTGAGCATGAAGAGAAGCCTGGATGGAGCCCACCTCTTGCAGCTGTGATGGGGGCTGGGGAGGCTGCCCACCCAGGTGGCAGCAAGTCTTAGGCCAGCTTAAAACAGCCTGAGGAACCTTAAATTAAGCATTTGTGGTCTTTTGCAACCTTACTGATAAAGGAACATGCTTTCCATGATTCTGAGATGACCAAAAAAAAAAGCTAGCCAGTTGTTCTGCTGAGAAAGGGTTTTCTGCTGGGCAGCCCTGAGCTGAAAAGTTCCTTCCTTCCCTGCTAACCACATGGTGCTTCCCACTGGAGCCCAGAACTCGTTTCCCCCAACATTCCTGGAAGCGGGGAGCGGGAGTGGATGGCACACTGATGGTTTTCAGAGGCCACATCCTCTCCCTTGAAGCTCACCCCTTTGGGTGGGCAGGTGCTGGAAGGAACTAGTGTGGGGGGACCGAGGTGGCCCAGGCTGCAGGGCCCCCACAGGGAACGCTGGGTGATGCAGAACATCCGACTCTGCTTGCGGCAGCACTCACCCCTGCATGAGGCCCCCAAACCGGGGCAGGCCACTAATGAGCCGCTGAGGGGAGTCAATCTTCTTCAGGAGGTCAGAGAAGCCCTGGATGATGGCCTGCATGTGCGCCGCGCAGCGCTGCATGAACTCCACCATCTGCAACACACAGCAGGGACGGTCAACCCCACACGGCTAACGGCCAGCCTGGATTTCAGTGGGACCGGAATGGTCTGAGGAGACAGGAGCCCCCCACAGGGAAATCTCTGGCAAGGGAAGGGGCCACGGGATTCCCTAAAGATACGGAATGAGATGATTCCATTTTCAGGGAGCTTATTTGACGATAATTTCCTCCAAACCCTTCATTCAACAAATGAGGAAACTGAGGCAGGAGTATTTTAACCTGTTTCCAAGGCCCAGTAGCTAATGAGCAGGAGAACCTGAGGGAGGGGACTCTGCCCATCTCCCCCTTCCCTCCATGTGCCCAGAACTGTGCAAGTCCTTTATTCTTTCCATTTGTTAGATGATTTAGCCCTCATTAAAACACATCATGCCTGCCAGCATGTGGCTACAGACAAGTTACTTAACGTCACTGCACTTCACTTTCCCCATCTGTAAAATGGAGACAATAAATAGGACCTACCTGAGGGTAGTTGTGAAGATTGAAGGAGTTAATATTTAACTAGTTTAATTCAGAACATCTGATGCAGGGTAAGTGCTAGTTAAGGGTCAGACAAAACCACAATCGTCCTCTCTCCCCACTGAATGGATAACCAGAAAAACTGACCAAGGCTTTACAGTTGGTTCACTCGCTTCATCCTAGGCATGTGCGCCCAGTACTGATGGCAAGCCCTGTACTGTCCCTGGACCGGCCTCTGGCCCTGCGCTCTGTCACCAGCACGTCTGCAGAGCAGGCCCTCCCTTACCACAGTGCTGCGCTCCTTCCCTGCTGCCAGAGCCCAGGTCTGCGGGTTTCGACCCTTCTCGTCGTGGAGTCGAAGATCACCCCCTGCATCCAGCAGTTTGCTGAGGATCCACTGGTTGCCTGAAAATGCTGCTGCATGGACAGGAGTACTCCCATCAAAGCAGCGGCTGGAGGAGGGGAGGGGTACAATGAGTGTCCATGGAAACACTCCTCCCCTTCCATGGATAACACAGGGCTCCCTTACTGCAAAGGCAACCTTTGGTGATAGGAGACCTGTATGAACACCATTAGTGACACACCAATAACACCGTTAACACTCCCATCTTTATACACCTTTCCCTCTCCCATCATTAACCACCACTGTTCAAGGAGTATTATTTCTCAATTTACAGATGAGGAAACAAAAAGGGCAAAGCCAAGATTCACACCCAGGCATGGATCTGGTTCAAAACCCAGTGTTCTGTCTCCAGTCCCCTGACGCTGGCTGCCCTGAAACCTTCAAGTCTATAGTGCCACGTGGTCAGGCTGGCGAAGCACAGCCTAACCAGAGATCATCTCATGTGAGAATGTCTCTACCTCCTAAGTGCTATGGTAGAGGCCCACAAACCTTGGCATCAGCAAGGTGGTCAAGCACCTACAACTCAAAAAATGTAACCAAAGCCAATAAACTATCTGAGACATGAAGGGACACCCTTAATGAGATGTGAAGATGTGATATGCAGCTGTGGTTTCCTAACATGGTTGCACATCAGGATCACCTACAGAGCTTGCTTTTTTTTTTTTTTTTTGGCCATGCCAAGCAGCATGCAAGATTTTAAGTTTCCCAACCAGGGGATCAAACCTGAGCTCCCTGCATGGAGTCTGAACCACCAGAGAAGTTCCAGAGCTTGCTCTCTTTAATTTAAAAAGAAACAAAAATGGGAGAAGGAAGGGGGAAAGAAAGGAGAAATTTTTAAAATAATAACTAAAAAAAGAGGAAAAGAAGATAAAAAGAAGAAAGTCTCCCAATTCCAGACCCACAATTCTCTTGCCTAGAGGCAACTACTGTTACCAGTTTTTGTATCCTTCCAGAAATTTTCTATGCACGTACAAGTAGGAATAAGAATATGCTATATTGGGAATTCCCTGGGGGTCAGTGGTTAGGACTTGGCACTTTCACCACTGCTGAGAGCCTGGGTTCAATCTCCAGCCAGGTAAGATCCCACAAATCACATAATGTGGCCAAAAAACAAGACAAAGAATGCTATATTAACTGTTGCATTTAAATTTTTTCTTTTAACAATATATCTAGGAGAAATTCCAATATGAAAGCATACAGCCACCTCAATTCCTTTTTAATAGCTGCATAGTATTCCAGCATACAGACATACCATATTTATTTAATAAGTCATGGGATATCTGTCAAAAATACAGATATCAGACTATACAGCAGACTGAATCAGAATCTGCAAGCATGGAGTTCAGGAATGTATACTTTCTACAAGCTCCCCAGGTGATGCCAGTGAGGCAGTGGACCATCTCACTGTGAGTTCTCTCCTGTTCCTAGGCCTGATAAGCAGTCCAGCACACTGCACCATGGGAACTGTAACATTCTCCTTGCTTTAAAAATAAATTTGTATATAATGTTTTACAGCCTTCTAATCATTCTTCCCATAAACAGTAAGAGAGCTGGGTAGGAAGAGAGGAGATATTATTTTTTATTTCTCATGAATGCTAAGGAAGAAAGGAATAATATTTCTTATGCCCAACTAACCATACAAGGGAATCCAGGTTCAAGTGGTATCAAAATGTATTGCTTTGTTAATTTATCCTAGAGGCTGAAAACTAGAGGCCCACAGACTGATCTGGCAACCCAGAGGCATTTTTTATTTGGTCCATATAGTATTTTAAAATAAGAATTTAAAGTAATGGACAATATTTAACACTTTGGGGATTTCACAATAAAAGTTGAGATTTTTAGTCTCTTGGAAAATCTGGCCTCCATGGCTTCCTTTTCTGCCCAGTTGATCAGATGCTACTTAGACAGAGCCTGTACCCACTGAACCCACTTAGTCCTGCAGGCATCTGACTCTGTGACCTCAATAAGCCCAGGCCATCACAGCATTTCCATGGAGCCCTTAGGAATACATTCTCCCCCCAGAAATTTCCTTTCACCTTGATGGAAGATATTTTAAAGTACATGAAAGTGTTCCTATCACAAAATGAAAAGCTAAGGGGCCTACCTTCTTCCTCCTGATATTGTCCTTTCCCACCTCCTCCTGTTATGATGGGGATTTCTAAAAAGGGAATTTCTGAATTCTTCAGGTGCTGGGCTCCTGGTCTCAGATTTGTCATTAACACAATGCATCATTATGGACCAGCCATTTAAACTTTCTGGGAGGGTCAGTCCCCTAATCAGGAGTATTAAAGATTATTTTTCTTTTGCTTTTTTACTATTATAATTTTTTTTATTTACTTGTTTTTGCTGCAGAACTGCAGGCAGGGCTATTTCTGAGTTTTGATACAGCAGAGACAGAGTGTATGTGAGTCCAGAAAAATTCTGGAAGGAAACAAAGCAAAATGTTCATTATGTTATCTCTGGGTCACAGAATTCTCATCTTGCTGAGTTTTTCCCTCATACTTTTCCAAGCTTCCAATTTTTTTCCCCTCTAAGTAAACAATCTTATAACAACAAACTTCCAAAATCAGTACTTAAAAAAAAAAATACATTAAGTTGGGTCTCCTTATATTAGATATGAAAGGTATTTTATGACTTATGATGTACATATTCTGGCATTCCTGTGAAAATTAGCTGGAATCATGTAAATGCTCAAAATTTGTTTTTGGTTCTGTTCAGTGTAAACCGTAAAAATACCTGCTTTTCCCTGTTACCTGGGAAGGCCCTGGGCAAAGCAAAAAGTCCTACATGGAGAGAAGAAATGTTCACTTTTAGCTGCCTCATTACAGTGTGTTGCTCTTTCATATTAAAATTTGAGGGGACTTCCCTGGTGGTCCAGTGGTTAAGACTTTGCCTTCCAATGCAGGGGGTGGAGGTTCGATTCCTGGTCAGGGAGCTACGATCCCACATGCCTCATGGCCAACGTCAAACAGAAACAGTATTGTAATGAATTCAGTAAAGACTTTAAAAATGGTCCACATTAAAAAAAAAATTAATTAAAAAAAAATTTGGACCATTACTCAAATTCTTCTAAATCACAACTACAAATGTCATCCTGACAAAGCAATGCCAAGTATCACTGATAGAACTTAGCTGTGGGGTACATTACAGTGCTTTTAAATGAATCATATAAACAATAGTGTGGATGGAACTACACAAGCAATACTTGGTAAAGCAAAGAGTTAGACACTACTGCTCAGAAAACTTTATTAATAGTTTAAAAATCACGTTTCCGTTAATTCCCTGGTGGTCTAGTGGGTTTTAATTTTAAGAGGCTTTTAAAGAAATTGATCAGTAGTGTCTGACTCTGGGACCCCATGGGCTGTAGCCTATCAGGCTCCTCTGTCCATGGGATTTTCCAGGCAAGAGTACTGGAGTGGGTTGCTATTTCCTTCTCCAGGGGATCTTCCTGACTCAGGGATCGAACCCAGGTTTCCCAAATTGCAGGCAAATGCTTTACCATCTGAGCCACAGCACTCTAGCAGTTATGACTCCAGTTTTCCACTGGGGGCCTGGGTTTAATCCCTGGTCAGGGGACTAAGATCCTGCAAGCTGTGCGACCAATAAAATAAAGCATGTTTCAATACAAGTGTACAAATGTAGTTCACCAACATAAATTAGTAAAGGTTCCTTTAATATCTTGTTAAATTAGTTTCCAGACACTCCAATTCATCTTTAGTGTGTATTTTCTAGATAGTGATATTATTATACTTACTGATTTGGATATGCTCCATAATCCACCAGGACATCAACTAATTTTGTAAGGCCTAATAATGCTGCAATGAAAAGGGCTGTCTGGCCCAGGGAGTTAACTGCATCAACATAAATTCCTGCAAAGCAAATATCAGGATCAATGCAAATACAAGAAAAAAATTAAAATTCCTTTATACAGTATTTTTTAATTAAAGGAAAAATGAAAGCCCTCATTACTGATAGTAACACAAAAGGACACAGAATCAACTAGAAGGAAACCAGTGTTTACACACTCAAAATGATACTTCCAGAAAATGCCTACTGAAAACCACACTCCACTACATTAACAAAAGAAAAGGGATGAAAACTGTTCTCAGTCTTCAAACATAAAAAGGGAATTCACGATAAGTTGAGATGTGTACACACAACAAACTTAGCAAACTAAAAAGACACATGATCAAAACACATAAACGTAACTGAAAAATGTCGCTCAGTCCTGTCCAACTGTTTGCGACCCAATGGACTGCAACTTGCCAGTATCCTCAAAATCACTGCAGACGGTGACTGCAGCTGTAAAATTAAGACACTTACTCCATGGAAAAGTTATGACCAACCTAAACAGCTTATTAAAAAGCAGAGACATTACTTTGCCAACAAAGAAAGGTCCATCTAGTAGGCAAAGCTATGGTTTTTCCTGTAATCATGTATGGCTATGAAACCTGAGTACTACTGAAGAATTGATGTCTTTGAACTGTGGTGTTAATTTTGGTGTTGAAGAAGACTGTGAGAATCCCTTCGACTGCAAGGAGATCCAACCAGTCCATCCTAAAGGAAATCAATCTTGAATATTCATTGGAATGACTGATGCTAAAACTGCAATACTTTGGCCACCTGATGCAAGGGACTGATTCCTTGGGAAAAAAAACCTGACGCTAGGAAAAATTAAAGACAGGAGCACAAGAAAACGACAGATAACGAGGTAGTTTGATGGGATACCACCGACGCAGTAGACAGAAGTTTGAATAAACTGAGGGAATCGGGGACGAATAAATAACAGCCAATGCTAGTAATAACTAACAATAAACACCTCAAGCAAAAAACACTTAAAAAAAAAAAAAACAAAAAACACCCTACCCGTATAACACCACTTAAGTGATGTCCGAAGCCACTCAGACTACGTCCTCTCCCTCTTCATTTCCAAAAAGAAAATGAAGAACGATCATCAATGGCAAATGGCAGCTGCAGAAGCAACACCAAGAGCCGACTTCACGCTCAGGAGAGAACGCTGTATCTCCTCCTCGTGGTTTCGGGTGCTCTACACGATCAGAGAAACTTCTCTAGTAACGAACTATAGAAATGATCCCTGAAAGTATAGTCTTAACCACGAGACGCTGGTTTTCAAGAGGTGTACAAAAAGCACAAGTATTTTAGTGATGGTGAGTTAAAAAAAAAAAAAGCACACGTATTATTCTCTCAAAGTATACACTGGCATGTGTTTTCTAAAGAATCCTTGCATTACCAAAGACTGAAAAAACTTTTTGAACACTCTCAGCGGTTCAGAGGACATTTCGAACTGCTACTTAATTAACATACGGTTTTTAAGCAGCCAATCACACGCCAGTTATTTCCAGCCCCTCCCCGTTTGTTCCGGCAGACCCGCAGCATTAGGATTACGCAAAAGGCTGACGACTACAGACTGCGCGGCAGACGGAACCTTCCGCCTCTTCCGAGACTGACGGCCGAAGCAAGAAGGTCTTTCATGAGAGGATCAAGTGGATGGTGAAAGGAACGACCTGAAGCCAAAACCTATTACATTTGCAAACCGCTTTATGCTATGATCAAAAGGCCAAAATAAAAATATTGTTTGGGATTTTTTTCCCCCAAACCAAGGAATTCTTATGTAGATAAAAATTGCCTTTAAATAAGCAGGACCGTACGTCATCCCCCCGGTTAAAGCTTTGGTAGTGTCAGCTACAATCTGGCGCTTGCCATGGGTGCTTGCTATCTACCTCCACAAGGTTTAAATCACGTGCTGCTGACCTTCAACACACCCTGAGGGAGTTCGAGGTGGAGAGCAGAAATGAGGCACTCTGTGCTTGGAGAAAACTGGCAGGACAGGTCCTGAGATAGTTAAGATAGTCTCAGGATCAGACTTTATGAGCCCAATTCGTGTATCTCCTCATAGTTAGAAAAGCACTTAAATCCTTCATGGTGACAACACTTTCTCGTGACTCGCAGAAGCTTCACGAGACTAGCAGAAACTTTCTAAGAAAAAAAATGTGCTTCATTGAATGTACCCTCCCTTTACCAAAATCACATATATACTGCCTTTCCCCCTGCCTCTATGGAACAGTTTCTCAGAGCTATCTGAAGTCCTATCTCCCAGGCTGCAGTCCTCACATTACCCCAAAGAAAACGACTCGCAACTCTCACGTTGTGTGTTTTTTTAAGTGGAGAGTTACTTCTCAACTGGGCTAAAGATAGCCTTTCTTTAAACAGTTTACCAATTCCGGTTCGGTCTGGCCCACAGGAGTCTACCCAGCCTTATTTTGCACCAAATCCCCCCTCACTTCAGCCATAATGAACCATGTGTGTGCAGGCCTGCTAAGCCACTTCAGTCGTGTCCAACTCTTTGCGACCCTATGGACTGTAGTCTCCCAGCCCCTCTTACTCATCACGTTCCTTTGCACAAGCTGTTCTGCCTGGAATGTTAGAAATGATGGATATTTCATCCTACTCTGGAATATTCAATAAACCAATACAACATGCTGTCTGAGTTGAAATAGTGGGAAGAAGAATAAACTTCCTTTAAAGGTTGAAAAAAAATTGAAAATGAGAAAATATTCAGTGCTGCAGAAGAGGTGGGAACAGGGGACACTTTCCTAAATGCAACTGGAAGTGTGAACAGTTACAATGCCTTTGGAAAGCAATGTAGCAATATTTATTAAAAATTTGACCCAGAAATCCCACTTTGAGTATTAAAAACCCATTATGTAAAAATTTATTACCAAGTACTTTATCAAAGCATTGTTTCTGGTAAAACAAACAGCCAAAAAGGAAATCTTAATATCTACCAGTACAGGCACAGTTGAATAAATTATGGTACATACAGATAATAAAATATTAGGCATTTAATTAAAATGAATTAGCTCTCTATCAGAATACAGACAGACAAAATGTACTATTAAAAGAGAAAAGCAAAAATCTAAGCAAGCAGGCAACATTGGGGGTTCAATCAATGAGTGGATATGAGCTAAAATGATGGATTTGAGGTACCTAACAGAGTTTAGCAAATAACACCTACTTTATAAATATTAAAAATTAAAATTCCAACACTTTTTTAACTAGTAATGGGATTTAAGCTTAAAAAATAATCCATTTTGGACTTCCTCAGTGGTCCAATGGTTAAGAAACTGCCTGCCAATGCAGGGGACATGAGTTGGGTCCCTGGTTTGGGACGATCCCACACGCTGCAGGGCAACCAAGTCCGCGAACCACAACTCCTGATCTGGCGCTCTGAAACAAGAGACATCACCACAATGAGAAACCTCCATGCCTCAACTAGAGAGGGGCCCCCCGCTCACCACAACTAGAGAAATCTCAGGCACAGCAACAAAAACCCAGCACAGCCAAAAATGGATATAAAAAAATTTTCAAACAATAATCTATTTTGTGCAAGTGATACAGGTGCTGTCAGATGTCCACCACCCTCCCCCCAAGTTGCTGGCATCTGAAATAAAGCAAACTTTTCTTTTCACCAACCTGGCCCATTTACTGGCTTTTGAGCGGCGAGCAGCTGGACCCACACACACACTAGGTGACACAGGTTTTCCACAGACCAAAGGCAGGCTAAAGACATGGGTAGCAAGGACTGTGGGGCCCCACTGCATTTCAGGAGAAGCTCTTTAGCCTGGATTTTATGGCATTCTAGAGTCTGGTCCAATTTGCCTTTCAGTGCTTACTTCCTAAAACATCTTGTACATACTCTATCCTTCAGACACACACATACACACACACACACACACACACACACACACACACACACTAAACTGCTATTTGTTCGCTCCTTTGTTGTTTGCTCTCATATAAAATCCCTTTGCTCATATTTATTAAATGAACAACCAAATAAATAAACTTACAGTATCAACTTACCCACTACTTTTTTACCCACTACTACTTTCTTAAGCATTAAAAACAAAACAAGGCAAAACAAACACCATCAGAGAGGGCTCTGAATTTCTTTTTCTTTTTTAAATTTCTGCTGATAGTGATTTTGAATGATTTTGTTGTCTTTTCCTGTTTCTTGAAATAAATATATGAATTTCAAAAAAATGAGAAAAGCAACTTACAGAACATTATAGTGTGATACCAATTTCATAAAGGTAGATTAGCAATTTGAGACTATATTTGTATATTGTTGATTCCACTGGTTAAAATAACTAATTTTTTGTAATAAGAGATTGAAGAACATCCCAGCTACCAACCTGCTTTGTCAAAGCACTGGGAATGTGTGCTCAGTTGTGTCTGAATCTTTGCGACTCCATGGACTGTAGCTCACCAGGCTCCTTTGGCCGTGGGATTCTCCAGACAAGATTACTGGAGTGGGTTGCCATTTCCTTCTCCAGGGGATCTTCCCAGCCCAGGGATCAAACCCTCGTCTCTTGAGTCTCCTACGTTGCCAGGAGGATTCTTTACCACTGTGCCACCAGGGCTTCCCAATAAAAACATTTTTCTTTAGTATTTATTTATTTAGCTGCACCAGGAGCTTCCCAGGTAGCACAGTGGTAAAGAATCTGCCTGTCAATGTAGGAGGTGCAAGACACTCAGGTTTGATCCCTGGATAGGGAGGATCCACTGGAGGAGGAAATGGCAACCCACTCCAGTATCTCTTGCCTGGAAAATTCCATGGACAGAGGAGCCTGGTGGGCTACAGTCCAGGGGGCTGAAAAGAGTCGGACATGAGTGAGTGACTGAGTATGCACCCACAACGGGTCTTCATCGCAGCACATGGAATCTTTAGCTATGGTATTTGAACTCTGAGTAGTGGCATGTGGGATCTAGTTCCCTGACCAGGGATAGAACCTGGGCTTCCTGCACCAACAGGGAAGTCCCTGCACCAACTGGACCTACAGGGAAG